GTCTCAGAATAATCTATCCCATAAATTTATTACAAAAGTAGTCACAATGAAATTACACATTCCATGGTGAGACTATGGAGTTGTAAGTATCTCTGAAGAACAACAAAGTACAAATACAATCCTAGGTGACCTGACTCCAAATCATTTCAAAGTTTATCACTTGTACCTTATCCACCAACACATGAAAGGTATTGCGAAGCATTAGCCAATAATTTAAGAGCTACAATCCAAACAGCAAATATCAAACTAGATAGGCTGATTTCGGCCCTTTCCAAAGAGATGCAATTCAAAAGTGAGAAAAGTAAGGCCCTGCACTTAGGAACAAACATACAGATAAAGGCAGTATCTGGCTCAATAGTATTACATGTGAGAAGAATCTGGGTGTCCTGGTGGACCACTGCTTAAGCATGAACTAACTGTCTGCTGCAACTGCCCCCCCCCCCATGCCAATGCAGTCTAGAGGGATAGCATCAAGAACACAAAAAGTGAAAGTACTACTGTACTGGACTAGTGAGGCCACACTTAGAATACTGTATCCAGTTCTAGTCCTCACAATACAAAGATGCTGAAGCCCTAGGAAAAATGCAGAGAAGAGCATCTAAGATGATAAGGGCACTGGAAGTAAATCATACAATGCATGGCTAAAGAAACTAGCCTAACAAAGAGAAGGATTAGGGGTGACATGATAGCCTTCCAATACTTGAAGAGCTTTCAGGGCACAGGGGTTGATTTAGTCTCCAAAGCATCTGAGGATAAGAAGCAATGGGTAGGAGCTAGAGATGCAACCACTATCACTAATTGATAGTGAGAACAATTAACCAATGGAACAGCTTGTCTCCCAGAGTTGTGGATGCTTCGTTGCTGGTGTTTTTCAAGAAAATATTGGATAACCATTTGTCTGGGATGGAATAAGCAGTCTTGCGTTGGATATTGGACTACAAGACTCCAAGGTCCCTTCAAGCCACATGATTCCATGTTTCTAGGCATAGACATTGCTGATTTGTTTAAGGACAAAGGAGGTAACGCATTCCTTCACCTGAAGGAAAGAATATGGCATACACAACATAAACATTTAATTAATTTAAGAGCTCTTGTGTTGTACTCAATTGATACCAGAGTTACGGAATGTGGAATGAGCAATGGATAAAGAGTGAACACACTGATAGAAATATAGTAGCATTTTACAAGCAAATATTCTTTAGCAAATATCTTCTCATCTTCTTGATCCTGAGATACAGCACAAAATGAAATTTAGCTTCACAAAATGTAAAACAATTTGACCAGATCATTGTCTAAAGTAGGGACCACCACAGTACGAATTTCTCCCTTCAAAAAAAAGTGGACAACTAAATGTTTTTAAATGTGTATTGCACAAACATGGAGTCTAATTGCGCAATTGTGCCAGTAGTGACTGCTACTGCAGATATCCAGAGGATCCCAGAGGTCCAAAATGAATAATGTTGCTTTATCCTAATCACCTCCACAAATCAATTCAACAATAAATGAAAAACTTGGTTTTTCAACCATGTGTTTCACTACATGTCTATGTTATCCAGCTTAAAATAAATGCAATCCTTTTAAAACATGTTACATTATTTCTAGGATGAATGATTTCCCTTAGGAAATCTGAAAATTCATAAGGAAGCAAAAGATAAAACATTATTGCCCTATTTTTTTTATTTTTTTTTTACTAAAGGAGGGATGGGAGAGAGAGTTCAGCCACAGCATAAGTGCCATCTAAATCCAATTCCATCTTCTTTATAAGATGTCACATACATGAATTTTGTTAAAGTGTGTTTTAGCTTGATGGAGAGGAAGAACTAACATTCAGACCTAGCACTGGAGTACTGCAATTTCTGTATGTGTTCTAATATATAGATTAATACTTCCAATACGTAGATTAATACATAGATTGATATTTCCCTATGATATTTTAGGTTCAACATTACACCTTTGCTTCATCCAAACAATTATTCCACAACAATTAATATATATGATAATATCATATCAGAGTGGAACACATTCATAGATGGATGGATGATAGGGTTAGGTTAACCCTACATATATACATGCATATATACATGCATACACTCCTTATATATTAAGAAATTGTCACACATATTTTGTTTTCTTATTTTGCTTTCTAATTTTTATTGAAAAATACATCATTTTAGCTACTGTTTAACCCCTGCTGGATGCCATCCTTTTCTGCATGTTTCCAACCAATATAGTCCTGAGTTTTCTTTTGCCAACTGGGCTCACAGTACTTGCTGATGTTGTCTATGTTGATCCACCTTGTTTTAGATCTCTTTCATGGATCCTTTTTATCAAGTGGGATCCATTCTATGACTGCCTTGGTCCACCTGCCATCAGTAGTTCTTCTCACCTGACTAGCCCATTTCCATTTCAATTCTTTTACTCTCTTGATGATATTGTATATTTTAGTTTGTTCTCTAATCCACACATGGGTTTTTCTATTTTGTCTTGTAATTCCAAGCACATATCTTTCCATGGTCCTTTGCACCACTCGTAGCTTTTGTATCAATTGTGAGGTTAACGTCCATGTTTCACAAGCAAATGTTAGAGCAGGTAGCACACACTGATCGAAAACATTTATCTTCAGACATAGGAGGAGGTTGTTTTTTAAAATTATGCTTAGCTTGCTGAATGCCTGCCAGCCACATTTAACATGCAATTCAATTTCCTTTATTGCATCACCTTTGATTAAGATCCATTGGCCAAGATATAAGTGGTGGCCTACTACGTCTATTTCTTCTCCAAATATATTGTTTTTTCTTTCTTTGGTGAATTCATTAAATGTAACCCGTCTCTTTTTCATGATGCCCCTGCATATTTTGGCAAATTGTCACCTTTGTTTTTTCACATATTGATTGCAGTACGTATATGTAAGCGTTGGTTGAACAATGTCCTAATTATTGCTTGCTGGAATACTGAGCCACAATTCCATTTCGCAGACAATAAAAGCCATGCACATGTACACGTTATGTCTTTCAATGATTTGCAGAACAACTTGGATGTGATCCATTGTGCTGTAGCCACTTCTGAACCCTGCCTGCTTCTTTGGCTGTGCATCATTTAATGTTCTCAATATTCTTCTTGCAATTATCTTGGTGAAAACCTTGTAGATGAGTGAAAGAAGGTTTACTGGATAATAGTTCTTTAAATCATCTAGCCCCTTTTTTATATATAAGAACCACTTCAGCATTTTCCATGTATCAAATTTTTCTTTTCTTTTCTGAGGCATCTGAGTTATAGTTTTGCTAGTATTTTGTGGTAACTGTGACCACCAGCTTTCATACTTTTATACTTCCTCCACTAGAATGTCTGGCATTTCCTCTTTTATGGATGTTGTTATTTTTGAGTGATCTTAATCTTTGTATAGCTCTGAATAGAATTACCAATTATTTATAACATTTCCTGTCTTGTTCTACAAACAGAGCCATCTGTATGTTTTAATGGAAAACCCTTCTTTCTTGTATTTATAAGTTTCCATTTTGCTCTATCAATCCCTTTGTTATCTTCAATTACCATTTACACAAGCTTCACATTAAGCTGACAGATTTCTTGTTGGATACATCTTCTTATGGTCTTGCAAAGTTCAATGTATTCGAATTTATTAGTGAAACTTCCAGTATTTTTCATTGTCCATCATTTTTTATTACATCAATACTTTCATCAAAGACTTTTTACTGTACCAAGTGTTTTTCTGGTGAGGCTATACATATAGAAAATTTAAGGATGTTTTTGACTATTTGTTCATTTTGGTCCATAATGTTCATCTCTTCCAAATTTTACAATAGAGCAAAGCAATCTGACAGATTAATCTCAAAATTGCTGTTCTCCTCTAACAGCTTATCATTTTTTTTATTTTTTGTGACATCTTTATATTTTCAAATAACAATAAAAAACTGAAAAATAATCTCAGAAAGTAAAGAATAAAGTAAGACAGAATAGAAAATATAAGAGAAAGGAGGAAAGGAAAAAACAAGAAAAAATAAAAATAACAAAAAAACATTTAAAGAGTTACTTCCAAATTTCATCACAAGTACAAATCTAGGATTGTGTTTCTAATGCTTCACTATGCATGTGAGTTGAAAATGTGAGAGTAGTAGAAACTAGAATATGACGCTAGAATATATTACACTACTGTTAGAAGCTGACACTTCCCTATAAGTTTAGCTCTATTGATATTATAAGACAGATTTCAAGTGGATATAAACAAGCAAACAAGCACTTTACGACAAGCTCGCTGACTAGGATTTCTGCCCATTTATTATTTTTGGATTATGAGCAAAAAGAGTCACACTTAAGCAATGTCTATTTGACACAGGCTGACACTTGGATGCTAGTGATATAACTCAGGTTTCTACAGCAGATAGCAGAAAGTACACCAGCTGTGTATCTTAGACAAAATATCTCTGGCAACAGTTATGTATCTTGCACAACTTAACTTCCCAAATCAGAGGATGAGTTTTACCTTAGCCCAATATAATGCTCTCCCTTTAGCACATCTCCCTTTGAGCATGGGAAGCCAGATTCACCAAATGACCTGTTACTAACTTAAAACAACTGCAATAATTCACTTAAAACTGAGACATAAAAGGTAGTAAAATATTAATAAAATGTAAAACAGAAATTTTTGGTTAAATTGCTTTTGTAAATGAAGGAGTACCTTTGCGTGTGTGTGTGTGTGTGTGTGTGTGTGTGTGTGTGTGTGTGTGTGTGCGCGCGCGCGCACGCATGCGTGCGCGTGCGTACATGCACACACATGTATGTATATTTATGTGTACAGTATTTTCATTTTAGACTGCAATTTTAAAGTTTATATTATCCAGTGTTAAATTCTTCTTGTATATTCTGGGAATTGAAGCTGAAACACTTTAAACTAACCCATACTGAGAAACACTGTATCAAACAAAGCAATCTGCTGAGAGAACATTCAATCAGAGTATAGACAATTTATTTAAACTATAACTTACTATCCGATAAGGATGATGCAAAAAGGAATCTGGGCAACCAGCTAAAGCCATTTTACCGACAGTGCTTCTTCAAAATTACATCTACTGTTTCTCAGTACCTGCAATACAAAAACAAGACTATGAGAAAATCATCTTAGAGGAATTTATTACTATTTATTTGTATAGCTAGTAATTCAGAAGTTAACCCAGAGCATTGGGATAATTTAATAAAAATATGTAATGTATTCGTGTTATCACAACCTCTGCATACAAAATATCTTAAATTACAAGAATAAATTTAAAAAGCTAAACTGTTTTATCACTTTGTATAGCAACTACAGGTAATGCCCCTCCAACACACTGTTCCGGCCTCCAGAGGCCTCATCCGACCCATTGCAGGCCAAAATGGAGTCCCCAGATCCAGCCCTCAGAAACTCCATTTCAGCCTGCAATGGGCTGGGGGAGGTCCACAGAGGCCTGAATAGAGCATCAGAGGGATGGATCTGACCCTTGGAAGCTCCATTTTGCCTGTAATGGGCTGGGGGAGGCTCCCAGAGGCACAAATGTAGCATGGGGGGGGGCGATCTGCTCCCAGAAGCTTTATTTCAGCCTGCAAGGAGGAGGGAGGAGGCCCGCGGAGATATGAGTAACAATGACCCCAAATGTAGACAAATTTGGATTATCCAAAAGAATTTCTAGTAAATTTCTAAAAATGTTCTAGAGCAATCATTGCTATTGAATCCTCTCAGACACATGGTGTGATAGAAAACCTTTTTAAAAAGTAATTTATTAATCTGTTCATGAAACTTGTTCAATGATGTTAGATTTCCAGATGCTGGTTAATGATCCTTCCGCATGCTTCTTTTTTTAAGCATTACTAAATTTTAATTCAATTATTTATAAAGTTTTTCTTATTTTTTTATCTGATTTGACCCAACTACTTGAAGGCTGATGTATCCTTGCTAGATTTTTATGACTTATGACCGTTTTTCACATTTATGACGTTTGTCGCATCCCCATGATCATGTGATCAAAATTCAGATGCTTGGCAACTGACTCATGACCATTGCCATTCCAAAATCCTGTGATCACCTTTTGCACTCTTTTGACCATGTTACTAACTTATCAACTGCGGTGATTCACTTAAAAACTGTGGCAAGAAAAGTCATAAAATGAGGCAAAACTCACTCAACAAATGTCTTACTTAACATCAGAAATTCTGGGCTCAGTTGTGGTCATAAGCTGAGAACTACTTCTACTGGATTCTACTATAAGGACTTTGGTTTTATTAGTTTTTCAAAAGTTAAATCTTTTTTAAAACTTTTGATGGGAAAATTCCTTTTCTTATCATTACTTTTCATTCTAGGAAATTTTATCTCAACTTTGTGGACATTTTGTTATGCTATATCTACTTTTCTTGTGCTTTAAAGAAAGAAATATTGTTTTTAAAATGTTTCTAAAAAGAAATAGTTCTCTGGGAAAACTTTAGGAAAAAAATGCCCTGTAACTTACAAGTCTTATTTGAAAACTTTACTAAAGCATTTTTATTAAGTTAGCAAACATTATGAATCAATCCTAGAACTTATTCAGAGGCAACAAGTAACAGTTGAACTTAATTTCATGCTGGGTCAAAAAGGGGCATGAATACAAGAAATTCAGAGATAATAAAATTGATGTGTCATTAACTTAATTTTCGTGTGTGTGTGTGTCTGTGTCTGTGTCTGTGTGTGTATGCGCAATGCCAAGGTAAACTAGTTTAAAATAGATGTTTATAATTTTTTAGAAATCTTATAAACTTATAAAAGTTTATAAATCTTGGGTCTGATTTACAAGGAGAGGAAGTTATCATTGCTGTAATACTGTGTTTTCTCGAAAATTCGACATGTTCTCATAATACAGCAATGCCACATTTTTCTGGTGGGCAAAAATATAAGCCCCCTCCCACATATAAGCCCCCTGGACAACCCATCATCTCTGGCCAGGCAGAGCGCCGCTCACCAACCTACAAATATCACAAAGGTGCCAAGCCACAGGAACATGAGGGGAGGCAAAGGTGATTGTGTTGCTTGGTGCTTTCGGGATACCGCTAGGTTGGTGAGCAATGCTGTGCCCAGCTAAAGAAGGGGGTTGCCGGGTGGCTGCTGTCCTGCGAGCGGGTTCCCAAAGAGCTGGACACAACCTCATGGGTGAATGGCTGTGTTGCGCTGTTGCAGCAGTACAACACAACAGCCATGAATGGACCAAGCTCATCAGCAGCCACCCGGCAAACCTCTTTGCAGCTGGGCACAGCACCATTCACTGACCTGGGGGTATTGCCAAGCCACATGAGCGCATGTTCACCGCCGCCCAGCTCCCGCAGCTTGGCGCCTTCCAAATGCTAGTGAATGGCGTTCTGCACGGCTGAAGAGGGGGTTGCCTGAGCAGCTGTTCCGCTCTCGCTCACCCATCTCCCAGCCTCACGATGCATGGCTCAGCTCTCATTACGGAGCCAGGGCACCTCGGCTACCGCCACCGCCATCCCAGCCTGGCTTTTTCCACGGCTTCCAACCCGAGTCTTTCGGCAGTGGCCGCTCTGGGTGCACGCTCCATGGTTGTATGTTCTGCAGGCAGCTGTCCCACAACCATAGAGCGTGTGCCCAGAGCGGCCACTGTCGAAAGACTCGGGTTGGAAGCCACGGGAAAAGCCAGGCTGGGATGGCGGCGGAGGTGCCCTGGCTCCGTAATGAGAGCTGGGCCATGCATCCTGAGGCTGGGTGAGCGAGAGCGAAACTATATTATTTACTATATTAACACAAACTAAGCAATTTCCTCTAAACAATCTAACTACTGATTTTCCTTTATTTGCAATATGGAATTCAAGAAAAAATATTTCACACAGTTTATTTCTTTGGCATCAGTGGTGGGCTGCAGGAAGTATGCCCCAGTACGGGCGTACTGGAGCCTGCCCAGAGAACTGAGTACCGTTCCGGTACGGTGCTTCAGAGGGTCCACCCGCCCGCCTGTGTTCCTTATCATGTTTTAAAGCTGTTGGTGCTTCCGCGCATGTGCATGGCGTGTACCCCACCTGTGCAACACTCTGCTGAGCAGCTGGAGCATTGCAGAGGCTTGCAGAAGCGTCATTTGATGCTACAACCACGTGCTGCGCGTGTGTGCGCCACGCGCATGCATGTGGGTGACTCTGAAGCTGTTCCAACCATACCGGTTGGAACAGAATCTGGAACCCACTGTTGGCATCAACCACAAAGAAAGTCATATTAAAACAAATTACTATGTTGATGAATGAATTGAAACAAATAGTATTAAGACAAAGCAGAATCTATATTTCCACAACCAGATAGTGTGTTCTATTAATCTATTAGTAGAATCTAAATGAATCATGTCTGCATATGAAACTATAGTTTTCTAATTATAATGATCTCCAGCATGGAAAGCATTTGTGGAAAAGCTAGAGATGAAATTGTTTGTTTTATATATTCCCTTACATTTGATAACATAAATACTTATCCAAATCCATTGGATAAGATGGCTATTTATAGTACTGCCATTCAATTATTCAGTTATAACCATGCCAAACAAATTGCTTTGTCATGCAACATAAAGTTGAGAAAGGCAGCAGAGGTGCTCTTTTGAATTTTGTAAATTTTCTAATTTAACTCTGGGTCTTTTCCCATACTGATTCTATATGTCTATTTACAGACAATTTCTTTTTTCATTTCTGAAATTCTGATTGGCACATGGGGAATAGTTGGACAACACATTCATTGGATAATTGAATTGATCATAGATTCCTTCCTTTTCAAGGCCCTTTTGAGGTCTTACAATAATTTAAGTGTTATTAAATATATTTCTTGACTGTTGCTGTTGGATGAAATCAAAGTAATTCAGTGAATGAGTTATCTGAGCTCCAAATTCCTCCTCCCAATGATTGATTTCTCCTAGTGTTAAATATATTGTAATTATTTTTTTCAACATTGATTTTATATTCAGAGAATTCTGCAAAACTATTAACTATTTTCATGTATTCTTCTATTGCCTTTTCTGGTTCTGTAGTGATTAGTACCACATCACATGCATAACATTTCAGCTTATATTTGTCTCCATTAATTTTGAGACTTACTATTTCTTTATTACTTGATATTTGCCTCAAACTTTTTCTGCCAATAGTTTTCACATGATGATGAATAGTAAAGTGAGAGTAGACACCTTGCATTGTACTTTTTCTGACTTGAACATCTGCAGAAAGCATTATATTAGCTATAATCTTTGCTTTTTGCTGTTGCTATATACTTTTAACCCATGCTTGAAAATCGCTTCTCGAATTTATTGTATTCAATACAGCCAGAAAACATCCACTTATGATATAGCCAATTATAAGGGTTTTTTCTGAGTCTAGAAAAATTAATGCAACATTATATCTTTTTACTACAATTAATCCTGGGGGAGGAGGGGTAAAGAATCATCATAATGTATGGTAATTAGATCCATCCTCACAGAGAGAAGACATTTTATCCATCCAATACCAGAAGCAAGCTACAATGCTGGCAATATTTGATTGGGAACTTAAATTGGGAAAATATGCAGCAATGCCAAAATTAACAGTATATATTCACAATAGGAATTTGGATAAGTATAATGATGTCATAATTCTCATACGTATAAGAATTCTCATGCAACATGGCAAAAACAAACATTTAGGGTCTAGCTTCGAAGGATGCCCAAATGTTTATAAAAATTGTATATTAGCAAAAGGAGAAAAAGAGAGCTTATAAACTGAATATTTTTCTTCTTCCTTAACCCTTTTCTTTTACTCCCCCCAATGTTTTAATCATTGTCAAATTTGCTTTATCTTTTTTTTTTCAACATGGACAAATATTCAATGATAATGCAGCAGAGACCTTAGTCAGGTTAAAACTATAATCAACTTAAGATCAAAATCTTTATTGTTCAAAAATGTGTGTTGTATTATATTGTATCCTCCCTATCTCCTGGTACCCAGTGGCCCTCCGCCCAAAAGCAGAACAAGACAAAAGTATTGCAGTCTTCTAGATCTCCGGGGTAAAGGGGTGTCAATATATATAGTTAGCTCAAATTTAGCACGAAAGGAAAATTCAATTCTTGATTGTAGTGTACTTCTTAAAATTGTGGCCTTCCACATGGAGAAAAAAGCAGGAAATTTGTGGTATATAAAAAATGTTCAGAATGTTCCAGTGAGGAATGTTAACCAAGAAAGATATTCCTCCTAAATACAAAGCGGAAGCGCTAACTAAACTGGACAACTCCTGTCATGCAAGCTTAGGAAATGGCTAATGCCACTGAAGTATGGTTTACCTGGAAGTCAGTGGCACTGAATAGACATAATTAGGGACATTGTTTCAGCAAAACAGTTCCCCTTTGATAGCCATCTAGATATTTGTCTCTTTTTTACAGAGAGACTATATAATTGGGGGTACATATTGTAGGACAGAACTTTTAAAAAACACAGCTGTTGTTTTGATAGTTCATTTTTGTTATGAAGCGCTACAAGAAAATTGCTGCAATTCTAGTTTTGCTTACGCAATGACAATTTAGAAGGTTTTTAATGATTTGAATACAGGCTAGATAATTCCCTTAATGCTACTTCTTTGTTTATAAAACAGTAACAAATTATAAGTTGATATTCCTGGGAAAAATCACACAATTATAGGTCTAGAAGGGATCTTAAAGATCTTCTAGTCTCCCCTGCCCAAGGCAGAAGACCTTTGCCTAAGATAAAAGGATAAATGTCCTAGGATGGATCCGAAAAATAAAATGTTATAGGTGTGTCCCAAAGGAAAGCATATTTTGTTGCACAAGACATGCCAGGGGAGGGGAGAGAAAGCTTCTCCCTTGAAGTCTTATTCTTAACTTTATATAGTAGAAACATGAGAAAGATCTCAAGTTTCACTGATAAGCTTTTCAAGAACTTTTAATTGGATTGAGCACAACTTTTCTTCCACTAATTACAGACGCTGCCCCACTCTCAGCTGAAGCTGAGAGAATAGTATGCAATATGTCAACAGAGACGTTAAACTATTCTGAATATCCAGCTATACAATACAAAGGAGCACACTTCCAGAAATGCATTTAGAAGTGGACCTTTTCAGCTAAATTCATTATTCCTCTTAAGGGGCAGGGGGGTGGAATGAATAGATGAAAGAGAACTGAAACATGAAGTTCAATTGTGTAGTAGATCCTACCCTTGAGCTTTTATGACTTTGGTCCATTTGAAGTTTTAGAGAAGATTTATTCAGATCAAAGGAAATGTTTTTCTAGTTAAATTCTTATCCCTAGATTCTATCCTATTCATAGCTGAAGTTATTCTTAATTAGGAAAGGATGAAAATAGAAACATATACAAAAGCGCCTTTTCACATATTACTTTCATTTAGGATACCAACTGTTTGAAACCCAAATGAGGCCACTCAGATTCCACATACACATTGTCACAAACTGAGGCTAGCTGCATGTACGATCCATCACCTGTAAAAGCATCCTATATGTGAAGAGTTGCTCATATATGACAATTGTGATTTGTGTTTTCTTATAGAGAATGACAACAAATGAAGGAGATAAAGCTAGAGTAGTATTATACATTACTTCTACTTCACTATTAATGGCCAGTTCGGGTAATAAATTTGCACAGGAAACTGGCCACATAAATAATTATGAGCAATGTAAAATTATGCTGTGCTTGCCATCCATTGTGACATCCATACAATGTGACTTCTACAACACAGAATCTTTCACATGTAGAGTGCTATGTTCTCCATTGAAGACTATGTACATAGATGATGATTTCATGATTTAAAGAAGGAAGAGGAAATAAATATTGTTTATGTGACATGTTTTGAATAAAAAGGACTATTTAGTAAGACTTAGGTATACCTTAATGAATTACATGTGAAAAGTTCCCAATAAAGGAATAATTCCCAGCATCACCTTCTGTCAGGTCTGCCATCTTCACTTTGGTGCTTCACTGGCATCCTGCCATCAGATGTAGGCAATTGGTATAGAGCGAGTAGAGATGGCCTAAGGGGGTGGGGGGACTGACAGGCTTGGTGGAAGCCACAGGTGTGAGACCAACTTGTTCCAATTTTCAAGGCTGCAGAGTCTGGAAAAAGAATGAGAATTGCACCACGTGGCTCCAAACACCTGAGCAGTTTCTAAAACACCTATATGGCACACCAAGGGATGAAGACAAGCTTGTTTTTGCTGCAGACACTAATCCTTAGTAAAAGAATTTATCACTTCAACCAAATGGAGTCAAAGGTCTTTCTTTCTTTCTTTGGGGTTTAGTTGGGGTAAGCCTGATATTAGGCTAAAAGAGCTATAGTGGTCAATCCCGACAGATACCTCTACCATGGGGACCGTGCGAAAGAGCAACCAGATCAAAACTTGAGGGGAAGTGGCGACAGTGAAATCCCATGGCAGAGTAGACCTCCCTGAATGACTGGGATAGGCAGAAACCTGTGATTATCAGCCAAGACCCTGATGGTCACTGAGGTCCAGGAACAAAGAAGACTGGGATGAGCAGCCCTCCAAGATGACTTTCACACATGGAAGCCAAGGGAGCCACCAGAGGGAACTGCATTTAGAAATTGAAAAGGAAGCAACTCTGGGGGAAGCGGGTGGTGAAGACATGATGTTAGAGCAAGCCATATAGTGCCCAAGAGAAGCATTTAATAATCTCAAGTTATGCAAGGCCCTGGCTCGAAGGGGCCTGCCAGCTAATCAACCAAGGCAGGTCTCAGCTGGCAATGACTTGGCCATAGCTGCCACCATGTCCATGCCTGCTCCCTTGGCATTGGCAATGCCCTAGCACCACAACCAGCGGCCACCTCAGCAATCCAACCAGCACCACCAGCTTAGGCTTAGGAATCAAGGAGAAACCGGAGGTTACTGGCCCTCAGGATGAAGTTGACTAAACAATTGGCCCAAGTCTGGACCTACCAACTGAGGGGCCCAACATACTCATGGTGTTGGATGGAACTGCAGTGGAGTGGATGGCGATTCTCCACAACTATGCCCCAGAGCTGCAAAACTCTTACTGCTTTATGCCAGCGCCCAGAAAGCATTTCGCCAAGCATTTTGCAGATGGCCAAACCCTTTGGCCATCTGCAAAAGACAAGGATCAAGACCATAAACCAGGGTCATCAACCTGTGACTGCTTGCTAACTGACTGGCCACAATACATGTTGATCTAATGTTTCTAGGATAGGCTGAACAATGATGTCTACAACACAGAGTATCTCCAGAGATGCCCTGCACACTCTTTGTGGATGGTATATCATGGCCAAAGAGATTGAGATTGATCTAACCCAATCCTGTTACCAATCCATGAATTGCAGAGTTCCTTCTCAGAAAAAAAAGAAAGAAGTCCCAAGCCACAGCCCATGCCACAGCCCACAAAGACACTCCACTGGCTGTTTCAAGTGCATGAAGGAAGGATACCAAGCCTCTGACTACCGAACTGCATGCCAAACTCAAGACGCCATCTCAGGGCCAACCAAGAACCAGCAAAACAGTCCTGGGGGGAGTAAAATATCACCGAGCTCACTCCATCCCCCAATGATTGTACAAGAATTCTGACTACAAGAGCCGAGGTGGTGCAGTGGTTGGGGTGCAGTACTGCAGGCCACTTCAGCTGACTGTGATCTGCAGTTCGGTGGTTCTAATCTCACCGG